TTCAGAAAACAAAAATAATTACAAGATTTTTAACACAAGAAGAAATCAATTTTTTGCAAGAAGAATCTGGCTGTCAGGTCAGAGAAATATCTAGGCTTGCACTTGACAGGAAACGAACAAGAGTTAGAAGGGCAGGACCTGTGGTTCGGATGGCATGGATATATAGGGTACGATAAAGTTAAAGTTAATGTAGATTTTAAAAATCATTTTGTTGGACATGCCATATTAACAGTATGGAATAGATATAAATCCAGGCTGTGCCCAAAAGCACCTTTATGGCTCTCAGCACAAGAAGCATTTTATAGGAGAGAAACAACAGGCAAAGATAAATGGTTAATATATCAAGAGATATTAGAATACCATCAAGGGGAATATAAAATGAAATCAAGAGAACAACTGATGGCAGTATGACATAGCTGGTTGGTTTTCTTATTTACAACTATCAGAAAAATTTGAAGTAGACAAACTCATGGTATTGAACAATGTAAGACAGAATTGTAATTGGAATTATGTATAAATGATGAACATGTAATTGTGAAAACGTGTAAACTCTTACTGAAATTCAAAACAGAAGAATAGATTAAGAAAGAATGTATGATAAAGTGGGCCAAAAATTTTGGTTATAATATACAGATGGAACAATGGGAAAATATGTGGTTAAAAGGGCTGAAATGTACATTATATTATAAACTTAAAGAGAATTTTTACAAAATGATGTATCACTGGTACATGACACCAGAAAAATTATCTAGGATGTATAAATGTATAGAATCTATACATCTACCATGCTTGGTGGACATGCAAAAAAGCTAAAAAAAATTGGATTCAAATACATACAGTGATACAGAGGATGTTGAAGGTTAACATCCAATTGAAGCCAGAACTCTTTCTCCAAGGACTAATGGATACACAGTTAGAAAAGAGTTATGGAAAATTGTTTATATATATGATAAATGCAGCAAGATTATTTTATGCACAAAGATGTAAAGACTTGACAATACCCACAATGGAGGAATGGTTGATGAAGATGACAGAACTTGCTGAGATGGCTAAATTGATTTGAGAAAAGACAATATCTACATTTCTTATGGACTTTTTGCGTAAAAAAGAAAATCAATTTGTGATTTATGGTTTTGATTATTAGGAAGGATTGACTATAGAAAGAAGAGAGCTATGGTGCAACTCTAGAGAGAGAGGTTAATATATAATTGTACTTATACTGCTGAGAAAAAGATCAGAAGCCACTTCTTTATTCTTATTTTTTTCCTTTTTTTCTTTTGTTTTCCTCCTGCTTTGCCTTTTTCTTTTTTTCTTTTTCTGCACTTTTTAATCCTTATTTCTATCTTTCGCTTCTTTATTTCTCTTTCTTACTTTTAAATTTTTGTATTAGTTCTTATTGCACTAGTTAAATTTTTAATAAAATTACTATTAAAAAAAAAAAGAAACAAACAAGAAATATATCAAAATATAGGCAAGAGATTAAAAGAGACCTTGAAAGACCTAAAGCTATCTTGGTTAGGATCCATTGCAATTATCAAAATGAATGTATTAGCTAAGATAAACTTTTTATTTCAAATGGTACCAATTTGAATCTCAGAGATAATCTTGGAAGAATGGCAAGAAACTGTCAATAAATTCCTACGGAATGAGAAAAGATCCAGAGTCAAACAAAAAATCCTACAAGATTCCAAAGAGAGAGGTAGCCTCTCCCTTCCAAACTTTAAACTGTACCACAAAGCAAGCTTCCTGTTATAGATAACAGAGTGCATATAATCTCTAAATAGCAGAATGGCAATTTTGGAAGGAGCCAATTTAGCCAAAGGACTTTATAGATATTTATGGTACAGATACAAAGGAGGATAAAAACTGAAAAGGACATATTATTAGACAAAGTATGATAAAAGTATGGAATTCCACAAAGGGAATAATAAGCCCAACAATTTCACCTCTAACTTCTCCTTCAAACGCTTTTCATGTCAGTGATAATTATAGTAATAAAAAAAAATGTAATTACATATGCAGATATGGTTCACTCAGATATTTGTTCACTAAATAGACTAAAAGCACAGCAAAAACTACTTAATGAAGGCTGGAATATACCATGGCTGATGTATTTACAAATTATCAGAAAGATAAAATCAGATCTCAAGAAGAAAGGAGGCATACTAAGAAAAAAAAAACAGAATTTGAAACACAAATACAAAACCAACACCACCTATTAGGGTGTATATATAAACTTATATTTGGTATGACTTAAAGAAAGAACAAACAAAAGCTGTATGATAAAATGGATGCAAAATTTCAAAGAAACAGTTACAACACAACAAAGGGAAGAATTATGGACTAAATCTATAAAATTTATACCAAGTTATAACTTAAAGGAAAAGTGGTACAAAACATTTTACAGATGGTACACAACTCCATCAATAATATCTAAGATAGACAAATCATACAGCAACAAATGTTGGAAATGTCATGAAACAGAAGGAACATTTTTATCACATGTGGTAGACAAGTAAAAAAACTCAAAAATACTGAAAAGACACATAGCCCAATGCAGAAAATCTTGCAATTTAAATTTGAAATGAAGCCACAACCTTTCCTACTAGGTATAATTTCAGAAAAAAATAGTAAAAAGCATTGTAATTTAATGAGATATATGCTTACAGCAACAAGAACAAATTTTGCTCAACACTGGAAGAAAGACACAACTTCGACTATATCTGACTGGCAACTTAAACTTGGAGCATACACAGTGATGGCAAAACTAACAGTATATATACACTACAGAATTTTAACTAAATATAAGCAAGAATGGTTCCCATACATACAACATGTCATGCAACATGACAAATATAATCACTTACAGTCTGGCTCCCAAGTGGGCCTAAAGGTCTACAAATACTGCAAATCTGCAGATGTCCAAAAAGGGGAGGAACCCAAGAGTTCTTTGTTTTATGTTCTTTTTTCTTCTTCTCTTTTTTCTTTTTCTTTTTTAGTAATTAATTCTTGTTAAATTTGCTCTGTTTATCTATATTTTCCTTTTATTAATAGGTATTACACACACACACACACACACACACAATAGGCAACAATACAAGGGAGACTTTAATAAGTAATCAGTTTAAGATCGAAACCTCTAGTATATAACATTATTTTGATAAGAGTTGTAGTGGTTCTTTTTCAATGTTATACACAACTTTGGATGAAAAAGTTAAACAATTTTATGCTTGTAACGGTGCCACTAAATAAACTGTAATTTAGATTGGTGGAATAGTTTCTTCTTTCTCTTTTCTATTCTCAATATTCTCAGCTATTTAAATAATAGAATATTAATATTTTAAACATATTATACAAATATCAATGTATGGAAACAACACAATATACTAAGATTTATAACAACATAATAAAAAGGGGGAAGAAACTTAGTTTGTGGGGTCCTACAGTACATTCCTAACCATATTTTTAACTGGACGGAAATTGTTAAAAAGTAAAATGGCCACCTCAGGCAGTAAATACGGGGGGAAAGATGCCATCAGCTCGTTCTCTCTGTCTCTCTCAGCCATAGTCATGCTCTGAATCAGCACAATGATATTTACTTTTTGCAGGGCTGGGCTGGCTGTATTATATACTTATCTGTGGGTGATATCACAAGCAGGTCCATTGATAACATCCTAATTTAACAAACAGATAAAGAGGAGCCAGCTCGCTCCAGGCTTGGCAGATGCTATGTTGATATGATTAAGGCTGCCATATCTGAATTGCTAAATTCAGATATCCACTAAATGGCAGCAAAGAGAGGCAGAAATCCATGACTATTTGCTGCCACCTGATATGCAGGCCTAATTTGGTAGTCGCAGTGATACTTCCTGTCACTATGGCTACTACATTGCTCCCCACATAAATGCTGCTAACATCTACCAAATCTAATAGTGAAGAAACATTGGTAATGCACAGGTAATCAAAAATCTCTGTTATGCTTGCCTGTAAATAGCCTGCTATCCCTTCAAAATGACTATCTGTGTAAGATTCATCTGCCAAAATTTAAGGAAAAAAAGCATTTCATCCTTTACCTCAGGCAGCAAAATGTCACGAACCTGCCCTAAAGGGAAGAGTTAAGTCCTTGCTTCTACTTGCTAATTTTATCAAATGTTTACTATTTCCTGAACATGTTTTCCTCATACATGCAGTTCTGCCATTACAATTAACACTTAAAATCACTTACCATAGAGGAGTAGCTGTATAAGTTAGTGTGAATCTCCCAACTCCTAAGAGTACTGCAGGACAATTAAAAGGCCACTACCAGTCTCATCAAGTTTCAAAACGACTGTTTTGCAGCAGAGGTGTGCAACACAGGAAAAGTGAAATTATACAGTATTCTCTTGGTGCATTCTGAAGATAAAGTTCAAGTCAAGTTCAAACTGATGATTACATCTGTGATATTAAGTCTCCATGGCTCATCCTACTCACTCATCTGTACAAGCAGTAGCTCAGAGGAGTGAACCACTGCAACTTTATATGAAAGCTCAGAACTAGGTGTCCTCCTGTTAATCATGACAGAGCATTTCCTTGAAATTCACTATTCTCCACTTAAGAAAAACATTCTGCCATTTAAAATATGCAAAAACATGTTGGTGTAATTCAGTACTACATTCTTTAAAAATTACAAACATGCTTCTAGTAGAAGATAATAGATAATGACCAGATAAATGTGAAGCATTTTATTAGAAAGATTACAGCATGCACAAGTACTGTAAGCAACAAATACAAGAATAGAGCAAAAATGCAAAAGATTTCCAATGACAGTGCATAAATGTGCAAACAAACATGTATGTAAGTTATTTTTAATTTGATGTCGGGGCATGGAAACTTTGTTCCAATTGTCTCAGCTGAATATGAATTTGCATACTAATATGGGTTTGGACTTAATGTAACTTTAAAATGGCCATACTCTTATATTACTGCAACCACTTAATATTTATTCACTTTAATGTACTTACAGAAGGACTTATCTCCTGCTAGTTGATAAAAGTGACAACAGACCTGGGAAATCCGAGAAATATCTTTATGAGTCAACAGGGAAAAGATACAAAGCCACAATTCATCAGGAAGCAGCAGCCATGGTACAAGGTTGCAGTCCCTGTACCTTTTCTAAAGTTAAAAACAAAAGAAAACAAGAAAGCAACTGAATCCCAAAACAATAACAAATATGCAAGTCAATCCAGTAAACACCTGAGCAAGGCAGCTAGCAGATCAAGCTCATGATCCAATTCAGAAACTATATTTTTATGCCGTGCTCTCAACTGGAAGATACCTATCACTATTTTTTCCCTTCAACAGGCTCAGTTTTTGAATGCTTGAACTAAATTATCATTGTATTTTTACAGAATTAACAACTTCAAGCAAAAGCTATAGAGTGGAACATATTCTATCACGTTACATATGTAATAATTCCTATATACACACATACAGTGTACTGTACATGTTCACGAGACTGAAATATAAAGGTCTATTACACATGATTCATTTGACACAAAAAGTTTTTTGTTTGCAGTCTTAATGAGTAAAACCAAACACAATATATCACGATGTGTACAACCAGTCAAAGGCAATATAATCATTGCTTGTACATACTAGACCAAACTGTGACTGAGTAATCTGTGATTTATTTTGTTGTGCAACTGCCAGTAATCAAGTAAATTCAGTAAGCCAAGATTCAATTAACCATAGGTTAGCATGTTGTAGAAACAGTCAGAGACCTCCACTTTTGCTTACATATTGTACAATACAGTTATAGAACAGAGAGCTGTCATCATCAGGATGAGTACTTTTAAAAGATTATTTTAATTAAAAGATTGAAAGGGAAGATAACATGCTGCAAAGCAGATCTGGCATTCTTAGAAAATGAAATTATGGTAGCTCCAACCCATGACCATTAGTTGAAGTGCACTCTATTCCCTTGGCCACTGTGGCCCCAACTATGTGTGGCTATTTAAATCAGGTGCTATCTTTGATGCAGGCAGATTAGCATACCAGCTGGATGTAGATTCTCGGTGTACCAATATTGATGACATAAGCCTAAGCTTACAAAAACTCAAAGAAGCAATTACTGACCAACAATCTGGGCAAATTGTAGTCTGCTGGATAATGAAGAGTTGGAAATGACTGAACAACAAGGAGGCCAATATTGTAAGGACTGTTACAATTAAATGAGATACCTACAATATAGAAGCTGGTTGTTTTGGACAGGTGCATTTCTTTTGGATATCCATCATGCAACAAATTAGACTTGAATACTCAACAAGAAGAATGTTGCTTACATAATGATTACTGCAAGAAGCAGAGAAGGGCTACACAACTTATACCATACTGTGGTATTTCTATGCAGTAATCCTTAAGAACTGTGCAAACTGATGACATAACTGTCATCAATTCTATCCCATGGACCCAGAAAACTATTTAAAATCAGCCAATTTCAAAAGTCCTTTTGGTGGTCACCAGCCTCCTTGTAAGTAAGGCACAGCTCCTGAGTGTAAGTGCCTGCAAGTTCAGGGACTAGCTAAGTTTACTCTACCAAAAGTGCAGGTGGAGGGGTTGCAGAAGGTGGTGGAGGAAGATAACAGATACCAGAGGATGACAACAAAGAGAAGCCTGTAGAGGAACTGCTAGAAATTTAAAGATGCTTCCTGTGAGCACCATGGTGAGATGATGTCCTGCTGGCAGTGGGACCATGTTTATGAGAATTGTGGCTGGATGCTGGATCCAGACTGGCAAAATCTCTCTGGAGGAAGGAGAGATTGTTGAGATTATCCATGTGACTCCAGACAGCTGCTCCTGATGAGTAGATCACAGGAACTTCTGTTTTGTGGTTGGCTTATGAGTTGAGTGGCTGAGAGTCAGGATTCCATCAAGCTCACACTTGTAATGCAGCCTTTTAAGGACATAAAGCTTGACCAAACCTCATTTCTTAATCACTTTTTGGATCATTTTTTAATTTACTGTACTTGAATAATTAAGACCCTTTGGATCGGCAAGGTTTTACTGTATTCATTGGGTGAGTTTTCTTCTTCTTGGAGAAAGATGGTGTAAATTTGATTTTACAAGTTTGGGAAATACAGTATATGATTTTCTGGATTATACAGCAAAAGGGTGCTTAGAATATGGATTTTAAAAGTTTACACCAGGTTAAAGGTCCAGATTTTTATTTAGTAATTAGGTAACATTTACATGATACACTCAGTGGGAGGAGGTCCAAACTGTCTCTCTGCAGCTCTATTTCCATGCTCTTTTGCATAACTGATTACATTCAGTTTGAATTTTGCAGAGTAAGACATTCGCTTATTTATTTATTTTTTTTCCGACATCTTTATGGGCTCAGAATGCTCTGACATTACCGGTCCCTGTTTTATCTGCGCACTGCCTACACGCTCTCCACCTCCAATGGGATGTGTTCCAATTGGTTTGTTCAGCATCAGCTGATGTCAGTTACATAAGGCTTGTGATTGGAGGAAG